AAAAAAAAAAAAAAAAAGAAGTAAGAACTTAGGGGCAGCACCTGTGGCTCAAAAGGGTAGGGCGCTGGCCCCATATGCCGGAGGCAGCGGGTTCAAACCCAGCCCTGGCCAAAAAAAAAAAGAAAGAAAGAAATAAGAACTCAGAGAGCAACAGGCAAGAATGATGAGGTTAAAAAGTAGCAAAAGGCACTGCACAGGCACAAGAATACGATCAGCAGGTGTAGGTTCAGAAACGCCAATGCTTAGTTGAAGGCTAACCTTGACAGCATTCATGTGAGGACTGAGCTCTGTGTCTGTGTGTGCTGGGGTGAGCAGTGAGGGTTCTTCAAGTCACATGTTCAATATGCGTTAACTCTGTGTCAAGGTTGTTAGAAAAAGTAAACACACTCTGGAATTATGTTAACAGAATCTTGGCATCCAGACAAAAGAAGCTAACCACCCTGCAATGGGCAGCCAGAATACCTCCAGAGGTACGGGTGCCATGTTTTCTTTTTTCTTTTGCTTGAGACGGGATCTCACTGTGTGGCCCAGGCTGCAGCACAGTGGCTGTTTACAGAGGTGATCACAGAGCACTGTTAAGTCTCAAACTCCTCCGGCTCAAATGATCCTCCTACCTCAGCCTCCCAAGTAGCTGGGACTACAGGTGCCTGCCACCATGCCCAGCTCGGGTGCCACGTTTTAAAAGGAACACGAAGAGAGTAACATGTTCCTGAGGAGGCAGACCAGCATGGCCAGAGTCCAAGCATCACTCTGAGAGCAAAGTTAGGTACTTCAACCCGAAGAAGAATGTCCTGGGGTGGATGTGCTTGCTCATAAATATTTTAAAGGACATTTCTAAGAATGAGAACAGATTTATTCTCTGAAGGCCCAAGCACAGTAGAAAAAATAGGTAGAAGTTGGAGGGTGGAATCCATTTTAATGGAAGCAGTGACTGTGTGGTTAGGGCTGTCCTTCAGTGTCATGAACCACCTCCTGAAGCAGTGAGATGATGGAATGCCCCCATGGAGGGTGGACGGCCATTTGTCAGAGGTAATGGGGGACACATCTGGGTTGTGGGAAGTTGGATCATGCAGTGGGAAGTTGGACTACACAGAGCTAAAAGTCCTTTCCAACTTTAAGACTGCCTCTAGGAATCCCTCTTTCTTTTATCCAAGTAACAACAGGCTGTGTCTCTAGATTTTGTTAACTCCACGAAACCTTGGTCTTTATCATCTTATTCTATATCTCACCCCAGGGGCAATTTTCAAGGGTAAAAATAAAAATCAGAATGAATCTTTTTCCAAAGAAATAGTCTTCGGTTAAACATTAACAATAATGAAAATACGATTTTTAAAAGCCTTCTACTTAAGCAGAAAACAAAGCATGTTTAACAAGTCAAAACAAAGTCTTGTAATACTACTTAATACAAAATATTCTGTTTGGGCAATAAAATGGTGGGAATCATTGGAACAGACCAGCACTACCTCTGACAGCAATTACTGCAGAAGGTTTTTACATTTATGAATCACACCAAATTACTGGCTCTTCTGGGTCACATTTTCAAAAGTATTCTCCTTTTTTTTTTTTTTTTTTAAAAAAAATGGAGGCCTGGCACTAAATACAAAAGCAATAAATAGACACATAAATTATCTTAGTTCTTTTTTAAAAAAAAAAACAAGATACATCTGTCCCAGAATTATGTAAGAACGTTTTTTTAAATTTAGAATTATCATTTTTTAAATTTCAGATTAATATGAGGGTACAAACGATTAGGTTACTGCAAGAACTTTTAAACACCTGTCTCTTGAGAGCTAATTAATTCTTCTTATATATCAGATAAATATAGATGGCAGTTCTTATTTAACACACTGCTAATCGACACAACTGTCAGAGCCCGAATGTTGGACTAGGGATGGGAGGGGGACTAGTACAGGTGGTACTTCTTTCACAGGTAGGGTGAGTAACTATATTGGCAAGTGACTTTAATGGTGCAAAAATCTCAACATAGTGAGATGTACATCTCCCAGTAGCATTTTCTAAAACCAACCAAAAATATGACACTGTATCTAATTAAGGCCCTCTAATTTGAGAGCCTCCTACTTGAGTACCAAGTTAAAGAGAAACACACAATATAAATAGAGTTCAGTGCTTTTTCCAGGGGATAATCAACATGAAATGTACAGGAAACACGCAGTGGTAGGAGATTTAGTACATACCCCCCACCAAGTACCCAAATGTGAGAGCTTATAGAATGGGCCTTAGCGAGGCTACTTTTAAAGAAAAAGGGAAAGTATTTCAATAAAAAATTAAACCAGGAAAATGGGAGGAAAAGCTACTTAACATCTGCGTGCTAAAATATTTCAATATCTTTATCTACAGTACAGCTAACGACACACTCAACAATCCGTCCCAGGGAAGCTGCACTTTCTGTTTCTGGAAATAAAACCATGGAAACCACTCCAGAAAAGACATCGTCTTTACAGTGTACAGAGGTCCATTCACCTGCCTGATCAGCTACAAATAGCCTGAAAGGCTAATTAATTAATGATCATTAAACTGTTCAAAGAACCCAAGTTATAATAACTCATCTATGACTCATAATGACTACAAATATGGGTCCAGTAAACACCCCATTTTTTTTTTCGGATGGGGAAACTGAGGCTTAGGGAGGTTAAGTATTGTCCCATAGCTAGTGAATGCTGGTGCCAGGATTCAAACTCAGGCAGTTGAATAGAGACAAGAGTTTGTACTCTAAACCACCATGCAATGCAGTTTAAGGGCTGTAACCTCATACCACTCTGTACTTTGGGATGGTTTTCATCTAAGTGGTCAGCTCAGAGCTGTGTACACCAGGAAGGCACTCAAACAGCTATGGAGCCAGCAGGTATTACAGATAAAAGAAGTGAGCCTAATGTGAAAAGCAAGGTAACTGGCAATGCACACTCCATCCTGGAGAGACGATAGGGAGTAATGAGGCCTGTGGCAACCTAGACCCGGCTGCCCCACTTCTTCACACCCACTGATTATTACCTTAGGGACAGCTGGGCAGAGCGCTGCCAGATTTTTAGCTTTTTCAGAAAGATAGAGTTGGGAAGGGACCACTGAAGTTTTTAGAAGAAGTCTCTCTAGGTTTATGTATTTGTTTATATATTTGTTCCCCATCCTCCTCAAAAAAACCCCCAACAACACCAAACCAAATGAAACAATCTGTTGGCAATATGACCTCTTTTACATCACTAAAGGAAGACAAAGCCACAGTCTTGGAATTAGAGGCCTAACTTTTAAATCTCCATAGATTATTAATTTTTTTTTTTTTTGCCTTTCTTAATATTACTACACAGTCCTAGACTCATTCAGCAAGTAATGAACAAAATGCCTGTCACCCATCAAGGCATGTCTGGCCAGAGAAACAGATGTTCCACTCCCCTGACACAAAGGCACAAAAGTTCGAGGTATATGCAGAGTGATACTCTCCACTCGGTAATGGTCTTCTTCATATCAGGGGCTGATAAATAAGACATAATCCAAGCTGCCTTCCTGGAAACTGTTCTGATCTATGGCAAACCTACAAGTGGAACTGGGGGTGAACAGAAACTTGACAGAGAGTGTTACTGATTCTTGGTTTACAAGGAAGTTTCATGTTCACTCTGGACAAGGAATGGGCTTGTGGTAAAATTTTCTTTCCTGGATCACATCCATTCCCCTATGTCAACGAACAGCTGATCCAAACCCAATATGATGGGGCTCCCTTTGTGGTCACTTCAGAATCCTTAAAGGGATGTACTTTTTTTTTTTTTTTTAAAGAAAAATAGTAAGCATGGAATCGAAAAGGCCTAGTGGGTAAGCAGAGGCAAGAAATTCTGACCCTTTCACAAACATCTCCCCTTGCTTCCTTTTCACCATTTCTGAAAACGTCTGGTACAAAAAGGCTTAAGAAAATCCCATGATGGAAAGAGTCTTGCTTTTTATACTAGTTCACCTTTATAATAAATTTCTCCTTTCTGTTAGGATAGATGCACCACAAAGCCACAATGAAAAACTAAAAACATAACTTAATCATTTGCGTTAAATGCTTCCAGGTGTATAGAGCAACACTCGTTAAGGTCGAACTAATGTCAAATGAGTAAGCACCTGCTACTCTTTGGCTAAGATCAAGTATGGAATCATATCTGTTGTTATCAGTTTAATATCTGATACACCTTCCATGGGATGACAATATACTAAATGGAATTTTGGAGCAGGGAGATGGAATAGGAGCTTGCTCTATCCACTCCACACATCACCCTGATACTTCAGTATCCCCAGGAATGATGTACTCTTTGGGAGAATTAAAAAAAAAAAGTTTCATTAACTAAAAACTGATTGATACCACTATTTAGAGAAGTAAAATGTCTGTTTTGTTTCCTATCAATAGTTCAACTGAAATGAGATGCTAACTTCAAATGAAAACATCATTACATGGTTAACAAGTGGAAACCAAGTCGATAAATAACATCAACTAACCCAAGTGTAGCCAAACGAGTTTCTCTTTAGGACTGACTGAGACCCTAAAATGTCTTCGCTTTGGTCTTCAAATAATTATTATTTCAAATGTTCTGGGAAGAGTATCTAGAAAAGCCTTCTCAAAGTTCACATCCAAAAGTTCCATGAAACAGGTGAGATTTGCTGAAAAACCACACTATGTAGTACACGTATTACTAAGAAGAGAGAGATGGCACAGAGAAGGGCTCAGAAACTCAAGTGTCAGAATGAAAGAAGAGACAGTATTTTCAATGAAGCATTTGCTTGGTTTTAAAAAGAGGCTCAACATGAAATAGGTATCTTAAACAAACCAGGACTCTTCTTCCTCTAACAATTCAATCCGAAAAAATAATTTCACTCTATCATCCCAATACCTTCTCACGTCAACAAAGGCATTTGGGAGGTCCTCAAGAATCCTTCTCTGCTTCCTATCTATTTTTCATTTTATTACCTAAACTCATTTCCAACCGTCTTAATACCTGTTGAAACATTTTAACAAAAGTGGCCATTTTGAACATGGTACAAAGTTACTCACACCTTTGCAGAGAAAACCATAAACCATAAAACGTTTACATGACATAATCTTGCTCTGTTTAGGTAGTACCCCTCATAGCCTGGGCCAAGGACCACCAAGAGGAAGGCACCCACACTCACCTGTCCTTGTAGTTTATCACGGTATCTATGATAGCGTTCATCTGCTTTGTCAGTTTGGGGGGATTGGGTGACAGTTTCTCAGCTGGTGGGCGGCCTCTTCTCTTCTTAGCCTTCTCCACATCGTCTTTGGCAGGATCTTTGTCCACATTTCTTCGTCGTTTTCGTTTTTTAAGCCGTACTTCCTCTTCCATTTCTTCCAAATTGCCGTCTTCGATGGCCTGATAATCGGAAATGAAGGAGAAAAATTCAAGACAAGAAAATAACCAAGAACCAAAAAAAAAAAAAAAAAAAAAGCATGTGTGTGTGTATATCTATATGTACATTTATATATCGTTTAAACAATGAGAATAAAATGAAACCAACTAATAAAAAAGTAAAAGTCAGCAGACATCAGTGGAGGAAGGAGAAAAAAGGAAGGCTACCCTAATAGATAAAATGCATCTTTAACACAAGTCTGCTCCATAAGCAAAATGACATTGTTGAAGGCTGGAAACACTGAATAAAGAAGACTAGGACAAATATTAAAAGAGCTATATGTGCAAGTGTTTGATAACATCCAAGCGAAACTGTAGCTCCATAGAAGAACAAGACCCTAACTAACTGTTTCATGGCTGAAAGAGGGGAAAGGTAAACAAAAATGAGGACTGGGTGAAGAAAAATATTTCCCTAAAAGCACATCCATACAATCATACAATCTTTGACCTTTTCTAGAGGGTTTCACATCCATTGATTCATAATTCACAACACAGAACAAAATTCCATCCAGATTTTCGGTCTAACGTGGCAACTAATAAACAAGGGAACAGAGAAGTACAAAGCCACATTCCTTGGTAAACGCACTTAAATCATCCGATCAGGAACACACACTCACAAACAACACACACTTTTTTCCAATTACCTGCAAACGCTTGCTTTAAACCAGAGCCAGCAGCACTAATGCAGAGAGATAATAAAATAGCTATAAAAACAACCAGGTAGAAAAGAAACCTGTTCATAAAGGGCTAACAGATCCATGTGACAGACCCAGAAGTTTAAACTTTTTTTTTTTTTCCTCCCTTGTAAATCTCAAACTCAAAAGAAGAAAAATAAAGGAAAACAAAAACTGGAAAAAAAAAAAGCCCCATAAAACCACAAAACCCAGATAAAAATTGAACGTGGCAGAGAAATTCTTTTGAAAAAAAAAAATCTTTACATTTTGAGACTGCTTTCTCACACCAAATAACTGATGTTGTTATTTGTTCCTCCTGCCTCTCAATATTGCCTCCAGTATGCAAATGATAATCAATCCTTTCTCGGAGCTGAAAGAGCTCTAATCATAAGGCAATTACCTTCATTTCTCCACAGCACCAAACATGGCTAATATTTATGATCATGTGAGTGTAACAATCAATATAGAGAGTGATTACAGCTCAGACATAATTTCTTTCACTTATATACAATGCCTCCTGAAAAAGAAAGGTTTTGTGAAGAAAACCTGGTACAGAGCACAAAACCACCTGGCATGTTGAAAATGCCAGTGGGATTAAAAAAAATATGTTTTCTATGCATCCTCCAATGTGCAAATCCATAGAAGCAACATGCACACAGAATCCTCAGGGACCGTCTGAGCCTAGGCCTTAATAATCAAAAGACAATTTCCATCACGATCCTACAGTGTTCAGATAACCACTATGAAGGAGGCGAGATCTGATGAGTTATAAGGAAAAAGAAAAGAAGCAAAAAAGCTCCACATTATTTCATTAATATTCATTTGCCTAAAAGCAGGACACCCACTATACAGCTAAACACACTGCAGCTAAGCAAAGATTAAGAAAAGGAAATTGTCCCGCATATCTTGGAGGCTGAACATGCTAATAATAAATACAGCATGCAAGGCTGTCAACAGTTAATGGTACTGCTCTTCTCAAGCACCCAGTTGCACACAGAAATACGGAGAACACCGGCTTTTGATGTGTTACACACCTACACATGCCTGGGATGTAGTTCTACTGAATCTTCAAGACGGCAACGAAAAAGGATATTTACCTTACCACTATCAGCAGGCCGGCTATCGGAAATCACAGTTAGTGGGGATAAAATTAACAAGCCAGCAAAGCAGCGAGCTGCTAGTCTCTTCATCAGCTGATCAGGAAAAAAAAGAGAGCTGGGGAAAGGCTATGTTTTCATATACAAGTAATTTTATTTTACTGAAAATTTAATACTGAAAGGATTGTGGATACTCAAATCTGCTGTTTCATTCTACCCACTACAAGGCCCGAAGCCTTCCTCCTTCAGCCTGTTTTAATATTGACAACTACTTATCATATTTTTTCTCCCCTTATTATTCCAGGCAGCAGAATTAGAGATTTTAGCTCAGGTGGTTTCTGATTCCTGCTCGCATTTTAATAATTAAGCCAATAAGAAAACAAATTAATATTCAAATCTATTTTTACAAATTAAAACAAGGTATGCTTCTTTTGATATTTAACACCTCATTTTAGTGCTTTTTTTTTTTTTTTTTTTTAAACAAGCTGCATGGTTTGGGAGCAATCTAAAATGATTTTTAAAATAGAAGACAATTCTTTTTCCATGAAATGCATGTAAGTAAAAGCAATGTGCATGTTCTCAGTTTTAAATATTTTAATACAATGTTATTCTTCTCTTTAAAGAAAATCTCCCAACAACTGTGATACTTCACTTTCAGTTTCATGCTGTAAAATTTTTCATTGTTTTTCTTCACAGTGGGATAAAATGAAGAGGGGGGAAGTTGTGGAAAGGGTATTACTACTCTCGTCCCCCCCTTAATTTGAAAAAAGGGAACAAAGCATAAGCTTGTGATATTTGGATTTTAAATCTCTAAATCTGTGAGTAGCTAAGAAGCGGAAAACCAATTAAATTGCAAACAGAACTAGTGAAACAATATTTATTACAATTGCTAATACGTGCAGATTCTTATTAAATTTAGGTTCTGGAATTACAAGGAAACACACAAAAGTACTGACCATTATTCCCCTTAAAATTAAGGTTTTATGCAGGAACGCAGAGCTACAAAACCTCTTCCCTCCTCCCCAACGACCCCCAAACACGTCCATATGCAGTGCTTTATGTTCTGTGATTTCTAAGGGTCTTTTTCTAATGGAAATCAATTCACTAAATACTTCCCAATGCTTTTCGCACGTAAAGAGTAGAGTAAGATTACTCCTGCATGTAAGTAAAATTATTCATGGAGATTTTAAACTGTTCTTTTGTTTTAAAAAATTATTTATTAAACTGGCTCAACTGACTCAACTCAGCCCTGGGTGGAGGGAGGGGGCGCACAAAAGAAAAAAAAACCCACAGAAACTTGCTATACAATGCTAAAGTACTACCCCAAAAAAGAATTCCCTTCCAAACCTTTTACCAGCACAATAATGAAATAAATCACAGAAGCAAACCCCCAGCTTCCGACTGGTGACGTGTTGCGCAAGAGTGCGAGCCCTAATTCAACATACAGACGGCTCCCATGCTGAACTGCCTCTAGATTTAATGAAGTGAATAGGAAGGAAGTCGGGGGAAAAAAAGTGTACAAATAAGAAATTAACACTTTCCTTCCCTACCGACGTGGTGAGATACAACTACAGCGAAGTTTGGTGAGGCACCTCTTTTCTTAAAGGCACACTGCACCCATTTGGCTCCGGATGTCACAAAAAAACCCCTTGAAGTGGTAAAAATCCCCAGTCAAGTTAAAATAGTTAAGCATATTTCAGCCTGCGGTTTTTTTTTTTTTTTTTTTTTTTTTTTTTCCCTGAATGAAACTGGAAATTACTCCTTCCTCCACTGGATGGCAACCTTTTTCTTTCTCTCTCTCTCTCTTTCTTTTTCTTCTTCCAATTTTGCTTAAAAGAAAAAGATTATGTTTTCATGACTCAGGGTGTGCAGGAATGGGACGCAGACTGGCTCCTTTTTCAGTTAGGGCTGAGGAAAGCAACAAAATGCAGGCGACTGGCATGCAGGCTTAGCTGTTTGGGAGGAAACAGTTTGCAGCTTGCAAAGCACATGGCAGACCCCGGAAGCCGCCACACGTGGGTCCAGCCGCGGCCCTCTGTCATCCTGACACACACCGACTGCACCTTTTACTGCCTGATGAAAGGTCCAGCGAGTCGGCGGCATCACGCTCCTCCTTCCCAG